AAACTATCCTTATCTGCACATGACATTATCCTATCCCTAAAGATCCTAAAAATACTACTCTAAAACTATTAGAATTCATAAACACTTTGGCCTAAGTAGCAGAAAACAAAATTAAAAAACAGAAATCACCAGCCTTTCTATATACCAACAGTGAACAGACAAAGAAAGAAATCGGTGAAACAATCCCATTTACAATAACCTCAAACTTAATGAAGGAAATCAAAGACGTGTTAAATGAAATCTATAAACCACTGAAGAGAGAAATTTAAAAAGACATCAGGAGATGGAAAAATCCCCCATGATGGTGAGTTGATAGAATCAGCATTGTGAAAATGGCCATACTACCAGAACCAAGCTACATGTTCAACCCAATCCCTATCATAATTCCAATAACATTCTTCACAGACACAAGACATTAACCATTATACACTGTTTGTTGGGAATGGAAATTAGTAAAACCGTTATGGAAAACACTATGAAAATTCCTCAAAAATCTAAAGATAGAATGTGATCCATATGATTCAGTGATACTGCTCCTAGGCATCTACGCAAAGAAATGTAAGTCAGGATACAATAGAGACTCCTGTATACCCAATGTTCATGACAGCACAATTCACAATAGCCAAGCTATGAAAAAAATCCAGATGCCCTAAAACTGATGACTGGATCAAGAAAATGTGGAATATATACACAGGGGAGTTTTACTCAGCCATAAGGAATAATGACATATGGTTCAAAGGTAAATGGTTGCAACTGGAGGACATTATGTTAAGTGATGTATGCCAGGCTCAGAAAGGCAAAGGCCACATCTTTTCTCTTATATGTAAAAGACAAATCCAAAATGAAAGCATATACACAGAACCAAACATGATCATATACAAACTCATATATAGAACATGTTTGTAATAGCAGAACTACTCTGGAACTTCGGGAAAGAGGGAAAAGAAAGGAGAATGATAGACTACCAACAGTATCACAAATGTGAATGTAAGGCTCTAAGTATATGTATCAAATCATGTTGAAAATAGGGAGGGGTGGGAGGTAAGGGGGCAAGGGAGAGTAATGGAAAGGTTGAACAAACCAAAGTAAAGTAGACTCACAGCAGTAATACATTGAGAAACCCCTTTGAACACTGACAAAAATATTAATAATGAAAATAGGCACAGTGTGTTTGGGGGTACTTGTGGGAAGGTACTTAAGGTAAGAGTATATGGTTGATGGACTTCATATACTCAATGAAATAGAGCAATGAAACCCCTTTCAACTTCTTTAAGTGGGTGGAGAGGGGATTGAAGGGGAGAGACAGTGGGGGTGTTCTAACAAATGTAGAATATAAACCTATTTGGAATTGTCAGTATGAATTCCCCCTGTACAATGAATTTATCCTAAAAGTTTCTTTTTAAACAGTTCCATGTAATCCTTGCTGACATTCATTTTTATTACCATATATTCATGTGCAAGGGGAATTCATTGTGATAATTTCAAATAGCCCTACATGGCACATTGGCTATACTGCCCTCCCACCATCCCCCACACAAACCCCTCCTCACCTCATCTGAAGCAATTGCAAAAACTTTCATTGTTGTATACTGTATATGTATATGAAGCCCATTAACCATATTTCCTCAACTTCAACTCCTCCATTCATTCTGCCCCCTCCCACAAGTAACTCCTACACCCTGTACTTATTTTACAGTCCTGTCATTCATTTTTAATTATGAATTCCAGGTTCAAAAGGGTTTCTCCCTATATACCAGCTGTGAATTTACTTTGATCAGTTCAACCCTGTCTCTTACTCTCCATTACTTCTTCCCTCCCACTCCATCTTATTCCAGAACTTTTGGTACATGTCCTTACTTACTCTACCTACATAGATGTAATGTATTTTGATATTGTTGACAATCATTCTCTTTTCCTTTTCCTCTTCCACCGAGTTCCATAGAGTAGTTCCACGATTACAAACATGTTCTACATATAAATGTGTATATGATCATTTTCAGTGTTGTGTATACATTTACCTTTTGAATCCATTTTCCACATGTGAGAGAACATATGCAGCCTTTGTCTTTCTGAACCTTGTTTACTTCTCTTGACATGATGTCCTCCAATTCCATACATTTACCTTCAAATGTCACAGTTTCATTCTTCATCATGACTACATAAAAGTCCCTTTATACATACATACATTATACATAGATAGATAGGTAAATAGATAGATAGATATACATACATACATACATACATACATACATACAACCCATTTTCTTAATCCATTCATCAATTGAGGGGCATCTGGATTCTTTCCATAGCTTGGCTATTATGAACAGTTGTGCTGGTATACAGGTGCCTCTATTGTATCCTGACATACATTCCTTTTGAAATATATCCAGGAATGGTACAACTGGATCATATGGCAGCTTAGTTCTAGATTTTTAAAGGCATCTCCATACTGCTTTCCCCATAGTGGTTGCATTAATTTACATTACAACCAACAGTGTGTAGGGCTTCCCATGTCACTACATCCTTGCCATCATTTGTTATTGTTTGTGTTCTTGAAGATAATCCAACTTCCTATTCTTTTTATTCCTAGTCTTTTGATTGGGTCATTAAAGCCACTAATATTCAGTGTTATTGTTGACAGGTATGTGGTATTTCTAGTCATTTTCTTTTGCCCTGATGTTTACTTTTATCCTATTCCTTGTTTGCTAGTCCCCTTGGTCAGAGGGGCTTATTCTTTCTTTCATTTTTCTGGCTGACTGTAATTGCTTCTTCTGTGTGTAGAAGTCCTTCAGTATTTTTGCAGTGCTGGTTTGGTGGTCATGAATTCCTTTACTTTTTGTTTGTTGTGGAAGGTTTTTACTTCTCCTTCAATTATGAAGGATAGATCTGCTGGATATACTAATCTGGGCTGACAGTTTTTCTTTTAGTACCTGAAATATATATATTTCTATGACCTTCTTGCATTTAAGTTTGTGTTCAGAAATATGTTGTTATTATAATAGGTTTGCCTTTATATGTGACATGTCATTTTTCTTTTGCAGATTTCAGTGTTGTTTATTTTTTCTGTACCCTGAGCGTTTTCATTATAATATGTGTGGATGTACTTCTTTTTTGGTTCTGCCAACTTGGTGTTCTGAAAGCCTCTCATAACTGGATTTCCTTCCTTTCTTGAGATGTGGACAGTTTTCAGTTCTTATGTAATTGGATAAGTTATCTATGCCTTTAGTTTATATCTCTTGTCCTTCTTCTGTACCTTTGATTTATATATTTGGTCTTTTGATGGTGTCTCAGAGTTCTTATAGGTTCCATTCATATTTTCTTAGCATTTTTCACAGTCTTTGACTGATTGATTTAATTTCTCTACTTTGTCTTCTCTTCCTTGATATTCTATTTTCAACTCACTCCACACTATTAGTCAATCTTTCAATCAAGGTTTTAACTTGGGTTATTGAACTAATCATTTCAAATGATTATTTTTCAGAATTTCCTTGTCTTTTTTGGTTAACTCTTTCATAATCTGGATTGTCTTCTTTCCTTATTTCATTTATCTGTTTGTTGGACAGCTCTTTTAGCTCAGTTAGTTGTTATTTGTATCATCTTTGAGTACAACCAGTATAGCCTTTGTGTCTCTTCTTTGAGCTTATTGATCATTCTTATTATTATGTTTTTTATTCATTGATTGACATTTCCTCCTCCTTGCTATTGTTTCAGTCCTTAATGATATGTTTTTGAGGGAGGGCTGTGGCCTTGTTGTTTCATGTTCTTACATTGAGATTTATGCCTCTGGGGTCACTTTTGGTTGGAGGTTCCAACCACCTGTGTCCCTTTATTTGCACATTTCTGAAAGATTATTTAGTGGAGGAGCACTGGTGCATTTTCTTGTCTCTAGAAGGGGGTGTGTGCATGCCTCAATAGTTATCCCTTCAGCTTCTTGTTCTCAAGATGCTGCTGTGACCTCTATTCCACATAGGAGAGGAGGTTTACCTGCCAAAGCTACCACATTTGCAAAGCTTCACCCTTGCAGTTATAGCAATTTTTAAAGAGTATCATTACTGCTACTGGTCTAATATCTTTAGCTGTCTATCAGAGCAGAAATTAATCTTTTTGATCCTGGAGGACTACAGGTAATAAAGGTAGTAATGGGAGGAAGATCGGGGGACTCTAGTAAATAATATAAGACATAAAGTTTTACATGCCATGAAAGGGTGGCTCAGCTAATAGAGGGGTTAATAAAATAGTAGACTGGGATAGATAGAAGAGATCTAATAGATATTCATATTGGGGAAAAGGGGAAGAAAATGGAGAAATTTTAACAAACAGACAAACAAATATAACTATAACAATACCAGCAAAATTATTATGGAATCTATTTACACTAAAAGTATAAGTAGCAAAGGAGATTTGTGGGTGTGTAAATAGAGAAAGAGGAAAAGATAAGATATAAAGCAGTTCATGTTGTTAATAGGAAGAAAATAAATGAAGGTAGGTGATAAGACAGGAGAAAAGAATAGATGGTTCAAAATTAATTGCATACTGAGAGGCAGGTTATGGGGTTTTCATATGATGATTACAGAGAATGAGAAGATTAGCAAGCAGAAATAATGAGGAAATTGGGGATAGAAAGTGCAAAATTGATCAGTTGGAATGTACAGAAAAAAGAAAATACAAACAAACATATTAAAAATTTCTACATGTGAAATTTACCAGCGACAAGAACAACATAAAAATTGAGTATTTTCTAGCACATTTCTGAGTAGCTGATCTCTTTTCTATCAATATCCAATTCCTTCAGCCCACTAGATGACAGTCTAAGTGGATACCAGTCTCTGAAAGGTGTCTGTTTACAGCCTTGTGTTACTTCTTCAAAGAAGTTGGGGAAAGGGAATGTTTGGAGATTTTTTAAATATCCCTGGTGAAGGATTCTAGAGATTGGACTGTCAACTTGTCAGTTTGATACCGTCCCCTCTTGTACTTTTCCCCACTGTTGAGCTCCCTCTTACTTGCAGTCTATAGTCACATTCCAGACATAGACTTTTTTCAGATGTTCTTATTGCAGGAGTCTCTGCAGTGTCATTGGGAGCACAGTTCCTTGTTGCTATGGCTGGCTCCATAGCTTCAGCTTCTGTCATGCACTCCAGGCAACTTCTTTGTTATGAGACATGCCAAAGGACACTGTATTCTGGAAGACCCATGCCTCACCACTTTTATTCAAGCTGCATTTCTGCATCAGGTTCCCGTTCTGGCATCAAACTAGTTTGCCTTCACTGCACTGTTGGCTCCATGTGATTCAGGAGTTTTCTTTGTTCTATAACAAGCCATGTGACACCACATTCCATGGATCTCTATGGTCCACCATTTCTACTTATCAGGTCCCAGCAGCTTTTCTGTAGCAGATCACAAATCCTTTCCTATTCAGGCATCAACCTTCTCCATGGTTCTTGTGGTGAAGATTTTGGCTTCCCTGCCACTAGGGAAAGCTGGAGCTCCACAGCTGGAGGATGTGCAAACCATTTCTTCACCTACTCTGTTGCTTCTCTCTTTCCTCATATTTTTCAGCTGGCCTATTCCTTCCAGGTGATTGACAATGATCTTCCTCCTGCTTGCTCCACAGTGAGAGGCCTTTACTTTGTTATTCAGACTCATAGTCAATGTTTCAATGGTAAAAACTTCTAATCCTCTGCCATCTGGCTCTCTCTTCACCTCCCCACTTTTGCAAACAGTGTTTGTGGTTTTCATTATGCTGTCTTCATACCTATAAACATAGTGTACTCCCATCCTTTTATACCCTCAGAATCTTTTCCTTTTATTCATCTCCCCTCCTACTGACCCCCAAGATACTACCACATATACATTCATATAGTACCATCATCATCATCATTGTAGGTGTAGGTTCCACAAATGAGTGAGAACATGGGATATTTGGCCTTCTCTCTTCCTGATACTATATTTTCAACTTGCTCCAATCTGTTAGCCAGACTTTCTTTTCCTTGTTTGGGGGGAGGGGAGTGGTACTGGGGTTGAATTCAGGGCCTCATACTTGATAGGCAGGCACTTTCCCACTTGAGACATGCCTTCCTGCCCTTCTTTGTGTTGGGTATTTTCAAGATAGGGTCCAGAGAACTTTTTGTTTGGGGCTGGTTTCAAACTGCAGTCCTTCTGATCTCTGACTTCTGAGTAGCTAGCATTATAGGATAGAGTCACTGGCACCTAGAATTTTCTTCTTCTTCTTTTTTTGTTAGGTGGTAGTGGGGCTTGAACTCACGGTCTTGCTTTTGCCAGGCAGGCACTCTTCTGCTTCAGCCACTCTACTGTATCAAACTTTTCCTCCTCCTTCTCCTCTTCCTCCTTCTTCTGGCATTACTTATGTTTTTAATGGGTGCAAAAAAGCTGCCTTTGGTGACACGTACTAACTCCTCACTTGGTACAAGGAATCAACTAAAGGTGGGAAAAAATTATTGCAGTTTATCTTTTCATATAGATGGAAGGAATAAGTTGACAGTAGAGAAAATGTGATGGGAATTACAAAAGGGAAAAAATTCTAGTGTAGCCAGCTTGCATGCTGGCCAATATGCTCTGCCTGTTAATCAAACTGACATTTTTCCCTTTGTCTAAATACTCAAGAACTCAAGGTTAAGTCCCTTTACTCTTCAATGAAACCGGTCTTCTACACTTTATCTCTCTCTAACCACCACAGAAGTAGACCTGTCAGTCTTCACAGACACAGCCCCAGGGAACTTGTGAAGCAAGCACAGCTCCTGTTCTGGGAAATGCAATTCATCACGTACTCAAACACAGCCTCTGACCTCCCCTTTAAAAACTGGACATTTTTCTCTCATAAGTGGAATAACAGATCTTCGAGAAGTTGACTTTCCCTGTCCTCTTCTTTGTTTGATGAATAATAGAACTTTTTTCCGATTCCTCAAAACTCTGCTCTCATTATTTGTGAATTTTCATTGAGGCCTAGGAACCAGCTTTCTAGTATGGCTTATGATTGCTCAATAGGTACTCTACCCTTGATCTATGCCTCCAGCCCATTTTGCTCTTTTTATTTTGGAAATATGTTCTCCACTTTTGTTCAGAAAGGGCTGCACAGTGATCCTCTTATTTTACACTTCCCCTCTTGCTGACATATCAGGCACATGCCACCACACCTAGTATTTCTTCATTGATGTGGCATCTCACAAAATTTTTTGCCCATGCTGGCCTAGAATTGTTATACTGCAGATCTCAGTCTCCCAAGTATATAGGATTACAAGCATGAGCCACTGATGCCTGGATAAGAGCCACTGGTGGCAATATATCAAAATATCTTATAGAACTTTTAAAAAATTCAAATGCCAGCCAGGAGAAAATGTCCCCTTTAGGCATTAACCACTTGTAGCTAGTCAACCCTTGATAAAGAAGAAAGAGGAATTGTTTCCACAGAGCTGCTGGAATTAAGTTTTACTCCAGGACCTTTCTTACCATTCCACTTCAGCCAGCATCATCTGTCTTTTACCATCTTTGGTGAGCAGAGAAGTGAATATTTGGACTCTAGGGCCCCAGAATTCTGATTCTTCATGACTTCTCCCATATAGGTTCACCTTGAATGTTCCTCTTCCTTTTTCTTATTGTCTCAAGGCCCTTTGGGGCCATTTGGTGCATATCTGAACTATTTGGGCCTTTGCTGAATCCCTGTTTTGAAACTTCTCTGAGCATTTGGGTTCATTTGAATTGATTAAGTCACCTGGCTTTTGTGAGAGGGGAGATCAGATATTGTCCTAGCAACTATCAGGAAAATGATGTCAGGTACACAGAGAAACCAGGGTGTTTGTCTTTGTGATTTCTGTTTTGATTTGCTTAAACAATGAAGGACAGGAATGTAAAACTGCTCATGTTAAGGGGAGGGCACTAATGAGAGGGAGAGGGTAAATAAAGACAATAACTGGGGTAAATATGGTTGATATACTTTCTGTACAAGTATGAATATGGATCATTGAAACTTGTTGAAAACACCTTAAAAATGATAATGGGATAGGAAGGAGAATAATGGAGAGGATGAATCAATTTTGGGTATACTGTGTGAATATATGGAAGTATCACAATGAAACCCCCTGTATAAGTATCATATAAAAAAAGAATGAAAAGCACTTAGACTATCTTGTCCTCTAGAGAGTATTATAGCTGAGTAATTTGCTATAAAAAATAGGGGGAAGAAGAGTAAAAGAAAGGTTTGTCTAAGAGGGCACTCTGAGTGAACATCATTGTTCTGATGTGTCATTTTGTGTATACCTACCGTCCCTAGCCTGTGGAGAGCAGAATATGAGAAGCCTATGAAAATAGAGAATAAGCAAGTAGAGATCCAGCTCAACTGTTTTTCCTAAGATATTTATCTGTAGGCTGAGACTGGCACAGCCCCGGCCACAGAAGAGGAAAGTGCAGAGCAGCTGCTTCTCCTGAATTCTTTACATTCAGAGAAGCAGGAATGCAGGTTGCTCCTGTTATAATCTCACACCCCTCCTCCAAAACCAGTGCCCCACCCTGTTTACCACTGGATATAGAAGACTCACTGTGGGAGAATGCGAGGTTTTTTGCTTTGGGCCAGTTTGCTTTGGGCTTTTTGATTTAGGCTTTTGCTTTGAGGGCTTTTGCTTGAGGCTTTTTGCTTTAGGCTTTTTGATGTGGGAGGCTTTGGAAGGGAAAAGGATTGCTGAAGGGAAAATGAATTGCTGAAGGCAATGTGTTGTAGGGAGATTGCTGAAGGGGGGAAAAGAATTGCTGAAGGAGAATTGCTAAAGGGGAATTGCTAGCAAGTCTGAGGGCCTAGAGTTTAAGAAAGCTAAAGAGAGAGCATGGAACGGTGCAAGTCTACACTGAGAGCTTTATACATAGGCTTTAGAAAAGCCAAGCTAAAGAAAAGCTAAAGAGAACATGGGACCCTGCAAGTCTAAGGACCCAGACTTTAAGAGTTACGCTAATACAGTTTTTAAGCACGCTGTTGTTGTTTGCAACTCTGAGCACTGAGGATTTAAGAAAGCTAAAGAGAGAGCATGGGAAAGTGCAAGTATGGGGGCCAAGACTGTAAGAGGGATTATGCTAGAGAACAGCTAAGACAAAACATGGGACAGAGCGAGTCTAAGGAAAGAGACTTTAAAGAGCAGAAAAGAAAACTTTAAAAGCAAGGTTTACTTTAGAAGTAAGGTTTTAAAAGAATTGTAAATGAGTAAAGCCTTAAAGAATTAAGTTAGAAAAACGAAGCAGAGTAAGATGAAGAGAATAATAGAGAAAAGAAGCAATGAGGGTTATGCATCTCCACCCGAGAACCCTACACACCTGGCACCAACTATCTATCCTGTGTCTTTTTGCATCTCCAGTTGCCCCTAGTTATTCCCAGATAGATTCAGTAATAACCAGGAGTGAGGGAAAGCTCACTCCAACAAAGGAATGACAGAAAAACTCGCTCCAGGTGGTGCCTGAACAGGGACTTAACTCTGGGGAACTCAGAGCCTGAGACGAGGAGACACTCTCTGGGAAGCATGCCTGTACTAGAGAAATGAAAAATACACAAAGAATAGAAAAGTAAGTAAAGTGAGAGGGATAGTGAATTGAATATAGTCAGGTGTAAAAACTTGGGAAACTCTATATATAGGCTTTATAAAGCTATGTTAAGAATTGTAAGTAGAAGAATTAAGAATTATACAGTAGAAGAATTATAAGGTAGAATTATATGGTAGAATATGGTAGAAAAGTTATACGATAGAATACGGTAGAAAAATTATAAGGTAGAATTATATGATAGAATGCGGTAGAAAAATTATAATAATTTTACCTTAAATTATATGGTAGAGTAAGGTAGAAGATGTAAGGTAGAGCAATAGAGGAGTTACAGTAGAGATCACAGAAGTAAGAAGTAAAAGATTTTCCTCCTTGGTAGCCTAGCTAGGATGTGGGACTCACCCCTTAAAGCAGTCATACAGGAGTGTGAGAGGCAGTAACAAGATGCTGTGGGTGGTAGAGCCGCTGAGCCATCAGCCCCACCTTAAAAGTAGAGTTCAGTCAGGAGATTCTGATTCAGTGTCAGACAAGGAGGGTCAGGAGGAGGCTCAGACCCATCAGGTATGGGGACCCATGCATGCAGGGTCACCTCCAC